AGCTAAACAGCGCTTTTTTAATTGGGAAAGAGCTTTGTTCTTGTTGCCACCCAATCTAACCGGCAATCCTAAAGAGGAAACTGTGCCTAAGAAACCACCAAGTGAGGGTTTCAAGTTTGGCGATATGCTAACCCTTTATATGAATTTCTCAAGTTTTCTGATTTAATTCATATCTCTAAAGTTCCACCTATTTTTCTGAAACAACCTTCACTTTTTATAGGGGACAGGAACTCAGGCAACTATCACTTTCTAGGCTCTGTCTCTTGAATATCGAAGGTATGATCACAATGCACTTACAGCAGCTAGAGTCAGCATCTAGAGGCGGCATCTAATCAAATCTTTGTCTTCCACGTTTTTGTCATTCTGTGGCCTTTCCGTGGCCACAAGTCATGAAGTGCAAAATATACAAAATGACTCCGAGAAAACCTGGTTTCTAAAAGCCGATCTTGGACAGACGCCTTTCAGTTCCTAGGGCGGTGCTTGACAGGGCGGGCGTGGCTTGATAGCACTTTCGCGGGTTCCGGGTGTATTTGTCCCATTCAACAACCACATCGAAGGACCGGACCAACGCAGATGTCCTACTTTCAAGTCCTTCTTGTAGACAAGCTACTAAACGAGGAAGCATGTGCCTCGCCTGGACACTGCCTTCATAAACGAACCGAGACAAACTTAACCTCATTCCTTCGCAGCGCCTGATGTTTACGATAGAAACTGTTCACGGTCACGTGAAGGACAAGATGTCTTTCCCAGGTGACTATATATTTCCGCCTGTGGCTGTTGTGTCTAATAAAGGAATATAAATTCATTCTGCGGTCAGCTATCTGGTCAGTTGCTTTTGTTGAATTCAGTTCTGAGGTCTGAACTGTCAGTAGCAAATGTAGAGTCATTTCTCGCCGCAACCAAGCTCTTTCTTGCAAAATGAACCACAGTGAAAATATGTAAAAATATGTATAAATAATATGTAGAAATTTTCTCTCTGCCAATCACAGCCAATATATAAAGTAAACAGTCGGGACCCGCCCAATCCCATTCATCACTGATCCCGACAGCCATCAAGAATGTTTGCAAATTTGTTAGGCGCCAGCTCGAGCGCTATTCATCAGCTTTTCAAGGACCCCCACTTTTTAGATAACAATCTACAAGGTCATTTTAAACGTTTCGTCTCGAAGTTCGCTATGTCACGTCCGTCAAAGAGAGTCTTCTCAATCCATCTCGCTACTAATCTGTCAATCTTCTTCAGCGTATTTGCTCTTTGCATCAAAGTTAAAGCGTCCTTACTTACAAGGAGAGGATACTTAGTCGAAAGCACCAATCTAGATGAGGCACATATCATCTTAAAGCGCTTGAAACGCTGATTCCAAATCTGTAGTTTTTAACAGCGGAGCGGTTTTGCATGAGGAGTTATGAGGGGTGTTTCCTTTTGGGGTTGAGGCGCCTTCCAGCAGGTCTCCCCTTATCTATGATGTAGAGGAGTACCGACTGGTGGCAAGTGGCTTAGTGATAAGTGCCTTGCTTGACAAAGAGAGTGTCAAGGTTTCAGTCCTCTTCGCATGCAACTTATCGCAATTCTTGAGTTCTTGAGCTTTTAAATGGCTCCATAGCCCTAAAGCCTGAAATTTCGGATGATACTGATGCTAATTGAAATTGGAAGTGTTAAAAAATCAAAGTGATACGAGTAATATAATCTTTAATGTAATCTTCATTCAAATTACTTACCACTAGCCAGTTGCTACCAGTTGGTACTAGTAGGGTAAAGGGAGACCTGCTGGAGGGCGGGGGGGGGGGGGGACTTTTCATACGATCGGGGACTTCGCACCTAGCCTTCGCACCTACCTCACACCTACATCGCACCTCTCCATCCACGTAATGAGTAAGATTCTCCACTACGCCTAGGTGAGGGGGGGGAGGGGGACTTTTCATACGAACGCTCTCCGATCACTTTGACCTTCTAGCGCATGCTAGGGTGCTGGTGATACGTCCAGTTATCGATTATAATGGACTAAAATGAAACGTTTATTATCAAAAATGCGTAAACTAAAGAATACCTTGATTTTATCTGTTGTGTAAAGCTTATCGGGTTGAAATAGCGTATCATAGTAAAGATCGTCAGGCCACAGCGGATTCATTTTCGCAAACAACTGGCACAATTGTGGTAATGAATAGTTCGCTTTATCGAGTCGCATGCCGTCCAATGGGTGTAGATATATCAAGAGGCGCAATTCCTATTGCCAGATGGGCAGCATATAGCACATATTTAATGTTTTATGAAGTTCTAGAATTACTTGAAATTTCGAAAGAAATATATTAGGGAATTTAGGGATTGTTTAATCTCATCATCTTGAAATCGATTTCAAACAAAATTGTTAAAGGTCAAAAACACATAAAAATGCAGTTAACAGCAATTTTGTAAACATTTCTGTCAGCTTTCTAGCAAAAGTCGCCAACCTATCAAAATAAAAAAAATCCATACAGTATTCAAGTTCTCCAAATTTATCCAAATTCGCGGTACTGCAAGAGCTAATCTAGATGTTTTTTTTGGAATGGGGGGAGGGGAGGGGGGGGGGGGGAGGCAGCAGGCCCAAGCCTGGCATGGCGCCAGTTTTTACTGGATCTTTGCCAAAAGATGATGTGGAGGCATTCGTATGAAAAGTCCCTCTCCCCCCCCCCTCTACTGTATACTAGACACGGAGGTGCAAGACTTGACACTTAGCCGTAGGTTCACACCTCGCACCTCGGAATTGCTCATCGTATGAAAAGTCACTCACCCCTGGAGGGCGCCTCAACCTCAAAGGGAAACACTCCTCATAACTCCTTCTACAAAACCGCTCCGCTGCTATATACTATAGATTTGGAATCAGCGTTTTAAGCGCTTTAAGATGATATGCGTCTTATCTGGATTGGTGCTTTCGACTATGTATCTTCTCCTTGTTAGTTCCATCAGGACCACGACTACAAGTAGCGTAACTGTTAAAGTAGATTCATATCTTTCGCGCATTAGCTGCGAGATCGACAGCAGACACTCGTCGTCGACGTCGTCTCTTGCGTAACTGACGCAGAAGTGTGCACGGATCAGTGATTTCCGTCTCTCCGATCCTCTCTTGACATGTGTAGTAGCCCTCAGTTTTGAAGGAGCCTTATGGCTATAAGAGACCTGATAGCAATACATTGACTCCATTCTAATTTTTCTTGAAACATCCAGAAATGAATTTTTTCTGTTTTTACGGAACATATTCATGTGAATCAGCTACAAACCCTCGCTGAACACAGTTTGAAAGCTTCCTTGCTTTTTCGGTAATCGGTCTGGTAGGTATTCTATCCAGAATATCGTCCACGTCTAGAGCTCTCCGGTTGTCCTGGAAGGAAATGTGTAAATACTATGGAGAAAAACTTTTTGTGGTCCCTTTGGTTTATTACCATTCCTAAATTCTGCGCTTGAGTATTCAGTTTTCTCACTCTTCACGAGAGATGTATAGAAAAGTAGTATTCTGTAGCAGGTGTAAATAAATTATCTTTGTAACGTTTTAGGCAATTACTATGCAATTCTGATGCTAAAAAAGAAACTAGGAACTTCAGACATCAAATTTGATGATGTACAATTAATATACTTAATCATCACCTACTATTATCCAAGTTTCTTCCATTTAGATCCTTCCAAAGAATAACAACCCATGTCGTTTACATGTCCTCCTTGACTACGAGTGGGTGGATAAGAGACTGGGAGTATACCCGCAGGCGCGAATCGTTTCCCAGTAGGTTGTCATTCTCAGCAATTACAACTGCGAGATGACAATTTTCTCAGAATCTTCGTACAAATACATGCGAGAACTATTAGATTAGAAGGACTACCCCCAATGGCATCCTTCTGGGGCTATGCTTGCTTTCTACCCCTCATTTCCATTATCAACCAGGCACTGTGCGCAAACCTATCGTTTTGTTTACTGATGTTGCTCATAATGCTTAGTGCTTAGCTTCGGGGCTTTTTGTGCCTCAAAACTTCCCAAAGCTATCTATTTTCACTTATAGCGTGTGTTTGACGCATTGTAGGCGATACACATCTACATGACTCATGATTAGATCTCAGGTGTTGATAGTTAGCGTACTCTAGATTAAAAGGCAGCGTCCAGGCAAGTCTGAACACATGAGGATCCCATGTGGACAGTAGTTTTGGGGCCCTAACTAAGCCACTGCCCAACCGGCACTCAGGTAGTGCTCTAATGGCTGAGATATTCCCCTCGAAACGGGACCTCGCGATCGTATTCCGCATGGATTCATGGCGCAAAGCGTGGATCTTGGCGCGAGACTGCCATGAATCCATGCGAATATGGTCGCGGAGTCCAGTTTTGAGGTGAATATCTCAGCCATTATAGCACTACCTGCGCTGCCGCTTGGGCAGTGCCTTAGTTAGGGCCCCAAAAATACTTTCCACGTAAAATCCCCATGAGTCCAGATCTGCCTGGACGCTCCCCTTAAGACCTCGATCGCGATGTCATTCTCGGCTCTTCTGAAGCCCCTAATGGACAGCGCACTTTTGGATATAGTTGTAATTTGACTGAAACGACTTTTTGGGGACTTTCGAATTACGATATCAACCTCATATATCGTTTTTTGATGATGTCATAACGAAATCTCATTTTTGTAAAAAAATTGTGGAGCTGGTACGGCGCCCCAAGGCTCAAGTAAGATATCAATCTATGTAAAATGTAGCTACATATCTGCTTAAAATCCAGCTCAATCATTCATTTCTCCGTTTGTAATCCATATCCTCTTTATCTACCGTGGATTCATTCATGCTCTCCATATTTGAAATGATGAATCGGACTGGCTTTTCTCCCGTTGCGTGCATCTATAATTATGTGGCAGGAGATGCGGAAAATGGGAGGGCCCACTCATTTCTGCTTTTGTAGGGTGCATCCCTAAACTATTAGATGTTGTCTACTCACTGTTCACCTCTCAATAAACATCGAATATTGTAAGTGGTTACAAAAGTGGATGCATTTCAGATGTTGCTATTTTTGGCTTTGCTACCTGTAATTCCGGCGGAATCATATTGGATGACTGCTGTGCTGCTACGAGTTGATTGGAGGGAGGGATGCTTAACTACCGCTGGTTGCTCTAAACCCAGATTCAAGGTAATTTTGAGAAAACTTAGATTCATATAAATTTAATATTCGCTTCTAAAGCAGATGATTTTCAGATCCTCAAAGATATGCTCACATTTGAGGGAAAGATCTCTATCAGTTGGCCAGTTTCCGAGAATTTGGTGCCTGTGACCAAATCATTTCCTTTTCCTCTTCTTAGCGAACAGCTTTCAATCATTGCGCCCTTTTGATCCATCCGCCACAATCTCTGTCAATTACCGTGCATAATGGCGTCGTCTAATTGTGATTAACAATGTTCCGCACTACATTCGCCAGCATTGTTCTGCCGCATTCGAAATTTTATGGACTTGTATACCTTTTGTATGCCGACTTTATTACCAGTGTATTACGCTAACACATGTGAGGACATTTTGCGGTCAAGGACTAGAGATACCGTAGCTCGCGTTAGCAACTGCTATTAGGGCGCTTTTATGTATGTACCACTACGTAAACTGAGCTCGATTTGTCATTTGCATGATGAAGAGCAGGAATAATATTTTTTTTTGAAACTGCTCGCACAGTAAGTTAACAAATCTACTAACTTTTTATAAACACAGAAAGTGTTTGCCTTACCAGCCTTCGATGCTCCACCAAAAGGCATTCACTATCTTTATCTCAATCATAATTTCAGGAGTCTTCGCGTCCATTTGCTTCCCATTGGACGAAAGGCCCCAAAAAATTTGGTACTCTCATGCCAAGTGGTTGGAACCGATCCGACCTATGGCTTCCCACGTATCTGCGATCAGACTGCCTCGATCCGCGCTTTCGAAGACATGCATCCGTAAGCTGTCACTAATTGTCATAATCATAGCTAGAGTTTCCTTGTCCCTCTTTTCAAAGACGCTGCAATTGCGCAATATTTTTCGTTGGTAGCATTTTGAATGTGATGTCCAACAGTTGCAGGGAAGGAATCGACGTCACCAGCATATCACTAAAACATTGCAATGCCGGAAGAGGAGTTGGGCAAAAAGCTGGTTGAGAATCGAGCCAAGTGCTTCAATGTCACCATGGCTATCCAAAAGCACACAGAGAGATGTCCATGGTGCCCTGATCCATCAGAAGTGATGTGGTTGAGCAGGAGGTTGAGATTTGATTTTTTTTGACTTTCTACAAGTCTTGAGCACTTTCTGCTCCCCATATACAAGAGAGTAATTCCTAAAAATCAAAAATGTTAGCTTTTTGACGAGTATCAGTATGATCGTATTATCTAAAGCTACAAAACTTCGTTGGAATCTTCAAAAAACAACTTTGTAAACCCCTAAATGCGCGACAATGTCAGCGACTAAATGCTATTAGGTTGTCCGGAAATTAATGCAGGTTTTGAATTCCAACCGCAACAAGTCAAAAACTTCTCATTTCTAAGAAGATTGCAAGATATCATTCGATAGAGCAAAGCAAGTTCTACAAGTTGACTCTTGCTTTAGCAACAGCTCTGATCCACCACAAGTTTCGAGCCAAAAACTAAAAAGATTCAACTGCTTGAAAAATTGAGAAAAATCGTAGCCTAGTTCATAAAAATCCTACAAAAATTCTAACTTACTCACGTAAACACAATCCGCATAGGGCATCTATATACACCGTTGCCGTATTTCTTTCTTTGTTGGAACTCAAGAAAACGAAAATTTTCGTGCACTTGCCAAAGTGGTGCTGTGCCGTTCCCACATAAGTAGCTGTATACTACAAACCTGTAGAAGTACAAACGTAAATTTCCAGCTCTCTACAAGCTTTAATTCTGAGAAATATCAAATACAGTTTTTCCTAGTCATATGGTCCAAGCTAAAATTCAAATTTTTCGAGAACAAAGCTTGTAGAGAGCTGGCAATTTACGTTTGTACTTCTACGGGCTTGTAGTATACAACTACTTATGTGAGAACGGCACAGCACTACTTTGGCAGATGCACGAAAATTTCCGCTTTCTTGATTTCTAACCAAAAAAAAAATACGGCAACGGCGTATATAGATGCCCTATGTGGATTGTGTTTACGTGAGCAAGTTAGAATTTTTGTAGAAATTTTATGAGCTGAGCTACGATTTTTCTCAATTTTTTGGGCAGTTGAATGTTTTTAGTTTTTGGCTCAAAACTTGTGGTGGATCAGAGCTGTTGCTAAAGCAAGATTGTCAACTTGTAGTGCTTGCTTTGCTCTATCGAATGATATCTTGCAGTCTACATAGAAATGAGGAGTGTATGACTTATTGCGGTTGGAATTCAAAACCTGCATTAATTTCCGGACAACCTAATACCAATTTGTCATTCCTTGATAATGGTCCTGCCTTTTGCCCTATATAATATTATTTCCCCCCGCGTTTTTTACAAATTCAGGACTTGCTTTTCTAACAAATCGAATCGCTATCAAGTATCGTAGTGATGACTTTTGTCTATAGGCTTAGGATACCTCAGAGCTCGCACCTGCAAAGGTGACATGACCTTCCGATGTTTTTCACGAATAACTGAACAACTTAGGTAGTTTGCCAACCTGGTGCGAGTAATCATGAGTTCCCTGGTGTGAGAAATCTCACCTACTGTGTCATTACAATATGGTCACAAAACATCACAGAAATTTGAATTTTACAGCTGCCCGAAGATGTTCCGTCAATCCGGCTTCGGTCGGCTTCGGTATTTATGCGGTTATTAGGAGACGACAATATCATGCCTTTGTCTATGTTGGTCCTGGCAGGGATCGCTGTCATATCTTTGCTTGGCATCGGTTGTCTTCTGGTCGCTTTTTTTTCGTCTCAGAAGGTATGTTCGGTTCTTGACGAAGGGCATTAATAGGTGATGGAAGCGCCAAATTTCTTCAAAACCGGGCTCTCAATCACGTTCTCGTTCAATTTTGGTAAATATATCAATTAGATTAGCAGCTTGAAGTAACTTGATTGTGGAACTGCAAACGAAAGAATTATGCGTATGCCACAACCAACTGCCATTGCCCTTTTCTAATTTATATTTTTCCAAAGTTTCTTTTGCAGACACGGTGCACCTTGGGAACAGACGCGTCCGCTTATCTACTGGCTGTCGTCTTCATCGAAATGCGAAGCCACAACGACGTTACCGCTCGAGTCGGTTTCGTCTATGGGCACGCGATCGTCACTGGTTGTTCCAAGCAACCGATCTAAAGTCACGATACCACAAAAGCACCTATACCATCAAATTTCACCAAACTCGTCGATGGATGTTGAGAGAGAACCTGGCAAGTGATCCAGTAACTTAGATTTATCTCCAGATCCTGACATGGGTAGGTCTTTCGTTCTCTCGCTCCATATGGATCTTGATAACCATCTTAGACAGTCGACGGCATACCTCCGGAGCAGAAATGGCCGAGCCGCGGGGTTTCCCCAGCTGGGGATTGCCACTCGTGCTCCGGAGCCCTCCTATTTGTGCTCCGGAGCCCTGCCAGTTTCTGCTCCGGAGACCTCCCATTTGTGCGCCGGACCCCTCCGATTTTCTGCTGCGCAAGTCTGCCGCGGCATACTATAACTAGCCCTAATTGAGCTCTAAACCCCAATTATGTCTCTAAACCCCACCCAAATTAGCCGAATACGACCCCCCCCCCCCCGAGTAGGAGTTCAGCGCGACCCCCATCCCCGTACTCTACCCCCTCCCTCTCCACCCTAGCGTTTGTAGATAGAAAATAGAAGAATGAAGAGACAAGAATTTACTTCAAATTGACTGCAAACAATCTACTGCAAACTGCATAGCTACATAATGTTTTCCCATAGCTACTTTGTTGAACGCAACTAGCATTAATCCAACGGCAGCAAACCGGTACTGGAGATAAAATGCGACACTGGAATAACATCATCAATTGTATTTTACTATGGCATTTGTTATCCCAAAAATGTTGCCATATCGGCAAATGCACTATAAACTCCCACAAAAACTGATAAAAAGACTGTACCTGGCCGCCTTCCGAAGCGATTACCAAGAAGGGGAAATAACACATTAAGTGGTGCATTGAAAGTAGAACAACAATGATAATTTGATCTGCGCCTATAGATGGCATCAATGTAGCTAGAGCAGAGCTGAGGAGACGTCCCACCATCATTGGAAAGATGAAGTAGTCCAGTTGAGTACCAGTACGTGGGCTGACGCACATCTGTAAGAGTAGCATTCCCGAAAAGTTGAGGCATTGCACACCAAATGCAAAAGGAAGTTCAGAACCAACATCTTGAACTACTAAAGCACTTCTTCAGATCGTCTTTCTAATGAAGCAAAACACATGGACAAATTACTGATAATAGAATGCAAAGATGCTTTTTCCTTAATTTCATGCCTGTTCTAAGGATGAGTGGTAGGTGAAGAAACACTCATTTTAGTTTTGACGTTAATCCACCTCATTGTAGGGAAAAACCATCAAAGCAAATGTTTCCATGCTCCCTGATAGGAAAACGAGTCCAACAGATAAACTCGCCAACTTCATCATGAGTAGCAAACTTCCTAGCACAGAAAAAATGAAGCTACACAGCATCCATTGAGAGAGTAAGCAATAGGGCCCCTAAATGACAATATTTTGAAAAAACCTCACGCTTTTCAAAAATATAGATAATAAAATTCATAACCTACAGTATCATTACCGTAATTCTTGCAGAGCAACCACAAGATAGTGCCTCAAAAGAAGATTACCACTCTGCTGCAGTGAACATTACGGCACTTAATTCAACGAGGCCAATAAGAAATTGCATAAGGAAAAATAAGTACCGCGCTTCAAGAAAGGTTCTCATCTTCCACAAACAAGGCAATTACTTGTAAAAATGCAAGGCGAATTCCGCATCCAGCGGTGAGCCGGCGATGTATGGATCAAACAATTATGAAAAGAAAAACATTGAATGTGGAAACGGCAAATTTTAGCCATTTACTCTTGTAAATTTGATGTCACTACTCAAGCTGCACGGTATGCAGCAAAACACTATCATCAGGACGTAGAAGACGACAGCAATAGTGGTGAGAACGGTTGTAGCCCAGATATTTGTAGAGAGGGGACGGGTGCGATAGGGATGGGTGTGGGGACGACAGACGTAGAAAGACTGAAATGTAACATCTTTAGAAATGCATAGGAAGTAATATTAGATAAAATGGAGAAGGTTACACAAGTTTTATGTCACCACACCTGCTGTGCGAACGCGGAAAAACAACAGTAAGTCGAAAACGAGAGCCAAGCACTAAAAATGACTAAGTGGATCCGCACGAAAACCTAAAACCTGAAACCTGAAAAGAAGAAGGTGAACAGATAAACGCCAACGCGCCGACGAGTAACACGAAAAACAAAAAAAAGAAAAACGAGCGCGAAACGACAAAAAAAGAGTAAGTCGAGAGCGACGGCAACTTATTTTCGAAAATGCTAAGCTGCGTATCACAGCAATTTGCCCGCGTACCTATTGTGCTCCGGAGACTTTCCATTTTCTGCTTTGGGGCCCTCTTATTTGTGCTACGGAGACCTCCCATTTGTGCTCCGAAGCCCTGCCATTCTCTGCTCCGGAGGTGTCCCAAATCTGGCGCACTCGCGGCGGGCAAATCTCTGCGCCGTGGCCATCGCCCCGCTCTCATTGGTCAATTGGGTCCTTCAAGGCTCTGCCAGATTTCGAATGTCCGCCGCGATACGGCACCGACTGTCTGAGATGATTCTTAGGTTTACACAACCGAGACATGACAAGCTGGTAAGGAAGAACAAGGAATGTCATCGATAATTTGGGAAATGAACGACTGAAGTTTCTCGGAAGTATCACATCTGACGAAGTAAATCATTCTCAGCGCGTCAGTATCTGCGAAAAAAGATACTTTCCAAACAACAGTCCAAACAGCACTCTGATGCAATTAGGTGCGGTAATTTTCGTTTTTCTTTACCTTTCGCTTATGCAGTGCCTTTGCAAAATATTATACCTTCTACCCTTCCAGGAAGCGTAGCATCCGATACACTACATAGCACAAGGTACAAATCTGCTAATCTGCTATTGAAGTTGACAAAATTTCGACCATTCTGTGGGAAAACGAATGGTAACAGCGCAGTATGTTTGTTTTTACTAGTATCGTAGAATAGCCCATAATCTAGTTTTTTAAAGTTTTACAACTTCGAATAAATCTCAATCTAGAGTCTCATGTCTCACTAAAGTTTCCGTCATATTATTATTTTCATGACTTTACATTATATTCAGCCTTAAAGGCACCGTCCACCCAAAGTGAGGGTTCACGAGTTCAATGGCATACTAATGTGGGCCCTCACACTAGGCCAACCCCCAAGTTTCCCCGCAAAAGATTGCTTCCGGAGCGAGAAATCCGCTCTGGAAAGTACGTGATACGTGATCCAAAGGTGGTCACTCCGCCCATTTTGCAGCTTTAGGGGCTGCGGCGCTAATATACGCCGGGCGATAACCGCGCCTCAGCCCTGCAAACTGCACTTCCACCCGCCCCAAAATAGGGGTTTTTGGGATTCTCGACTTCATATTCGAAACCAGGGCCTTCAAAAGGCCCGGAAGCAACAAAAACATGGAAGTCGAGATTTGGGTGGACGGTGCCTTTAAGGACAGAGGTCTGGGAATGTTTCGAAGCTGTGATATTCTCTTCATCAAAAAAGTAGAAAACATAAATAAATTTACACGTCATGAAAAATTCGAAGAGCATTTTTTTGTTTTTTCTCGACTAACTGCCGTTTAATGTGATTTTTCAATTTCAGAGGTAAACCGTGGAAAGTTTTGGACCTTCTCAGCAGTTCTCTCTTTCGGATTAAGCACGATTGATCTACGATAATGCATTTTTCTTTCATCATCGAGGAGTGAGGGCCGTCGGAGATGTTCCTGATACTGCGCGTGATATGAATAAATTGTTTTTGCAATTGGTGTTGTAAATAGTACTGTTTGTCTTGTTCCATAACAAATTCTCTACTTCCTACACTAGTCTTTTGTATCAATTGCTCATTATTTTGTGGCTATCAAAGTTCCCAATTCTTTGGAAAAATGTTCCTTTCAACTCTCCGATCGGCAAAGCTTGCAAAAGTTTTAGTCTCAGCAAAATTTTCTTCAAGAACTTGCTTTTCTAGAAGGTCATACCAATTAGTAATCGAAGGAATCTTCTAAAGGACATGATAAATTTGGCCCCTTAGAACTGTCTCATGTACAAATTGTAATGATGTGAAAAGAAGCAAATTTGTTTTTTAATGTCACGGCTCCAGTTAATAAACACGCAAGTCTGTGATTTGATAGTCATGGTTTTACTCGACCATGAAAAGTGACCGTAAAAAGGCTACTGTAGAGTGCCCTAGCATATTCGTGTCCTCACTCAACTTATGGAAACTGAGATTTGTCACACGGTTTACAGTAATTGTCAATACAAATAACAAATCGTTTCAGTACATATAAATGACTAGGTGTAGCCGCTTTTGTGGCATCCTCACATCTGCAAAGCAGTCTCGTAGCAATCGCAAACTGCTGTAATTTACAATTATGGTTAAATTCGGAATAGCGATAAAAGCTGAGAAATCGCTTGTGGTTCTCTGATAATACAAAACTGGTAGAAAATTTTGCTGAGGCCTGAATGCAGATATGTGCAATCATATTTTTATTTAATTACTGACCTAGAAAATCGTTTTCTGGGTTAATGCAAAATGATTCCATGAGCCTTGCGCCCTAATTTACAAATGACTCTTTTGAGATTTTTTCAGGTCTAACTTTATATTGCATAACTTTTATCTAAAATAAAGGTATATTATTATTATGCTAAAATTTTACATAGATTAAATTCAGAATGAGTTTATCAAAAAAATCATAACTTTCGAAATAGTGGAAGTACACGATCCTATCAGTTGCAAAGTTCATCACTTCGACACTCTGAGCAGTGTCTGTGCAGTGAGATCGTCCAAAGTATCACTGCTACATGGGTCAAGGTAAAGTCACCAAACCCACGATGGCTTTCTAGCCTTAACGCTCAAAGATAGGAGATGTAATCAACAGTTTCGAAAGTGAAATACGCGTCATTTACTGTCCTCCATATGAACTGTTTTTTGGCTACCATCTGATAGAGCTCTTTACGCTTTATCCACCCATATGCATTTTGTTCCAATTTTCATATACATACCGCTCTCCAGAATGTGCAAAATTTCCGTAAATGTCGCAGAATTCCGAGAATTCCGCGAAGGTTCGCGAAATTCTCGGAATTCTGCGACATTTACGGAAATTTTGCACATTCTGTGAGCGGTATTGTATCTTCGGTGCATATAGATTAAATCATGATTTCTTGGTTTTTATTGCGCCAGAAAAACTCATTTTTGGAATTTTTTTGCTTTTTTATCAAAAAATAAAAAGGAATCTCATATATTTGATATACCAATCTCGAATGGTTAGTCAATTGATTTATGAGTTTATGGCATAGCAACATAAGAGAGAGATGTTCAAAAAAACCCTGTTTGAGTTCTCCACAACGCACGCGTGAGGTTGTGGAGGAGAAGCGTTAACGCGTTATCAGAATAATAGGCGAAAGTCGTTTGTGTAAGCGACGTTTGAGCTGCAGCCTGTTTGATTTTGGTCAAAAAAATCTCAGAATATCATAAAAAATCAAGCTGTCCTATTTTCGCCGTTCACCCCTTATACTTTGAAGAGCATCAAAAGGCTGATTCCACGTTCGTTATTGGCAAGCTCCTCTGAACGCCCTGTCATAATCGTGTTTGGAGCGAAATATGGACGTAGAACCTAGGTAAAGTTCAGGGACTACGGCTTTCAGCGCTTAAAAAGAGCAGTGTTCTGCATGAGTGGTATTAGACAGAAGGTAGCAGCTGAAGTGCTATGATAATCGCACTGAAACACTTGAGCAATCCTGAACGTTTTTGTTCCAGTTGCGCATTTAGTTTTCAACCCAAGAAACGCTCTTGACACGGCGTTCAAATGATAGAAAATGATATTGGCAGATAACAAAGGCAGGTTTCAAACCAACGTTCAATGCTCTTTGAAATTGGATAGGAGTCATTTGGAAAGGCCACCTAGAGGTACTTAGAGAATATCACACTCTCTTAGCAAACTATTTACGATGAATTTCTCTGAGTACTCTGCGTTGATACCACTGCTT